CTAATGGGATAATACTGTTTTTTTTCGCAAACATCACTAATTTCTAAAAGGTTCAGTAATTTTTTTATGCCTGTGGTCCAATTACTGATGTTTTCTTTGTCCAAATTGGTGCCAAGTTTATAGGCCTCAGAGATCAGAGTGTTTTCATCCATATGTTTTATTTTCAACCAGTAATTAATCATAGGTTTGATGCTTGAGATGATAAGTGGATATCTTCCCAGTTCAAGTAAACATGCCAAGTTTGTAGCTTTACAGTTTACTTGTAGTAGGTACTTACACATTCTGTGATGTAATTTTTCTATAGGCAAGGATTGTTTAAACAAGTCTGTTGAGTGCATATTAATAATATCGCTTGCCCAGATTTCACTACAGTAGAGTAAAATATAAAGTATATATATATATTTTAAACATTTATGAACATCCCGGTATTCGCGTAAATGGTATACATTATTTGCTTGCCGAAATTTTCGCAATAGCTTATATTGTTCCCTTTTATATGAAGTGCATTTTGTATCAAACCATATTGTCCTCTAACATACCATGGATTATCTTAGCACAGACTATGTTTTCAATATCTGGAGTTTCTAGAATAGCATTTAGTTAAAGCGGGAAGGTCGTTACCTGCGCACCTTTAATTTATTGTTGCCTCTGAGCAGATAAGTTGCCAGTAAGAAATTGCACGGTTTTTAGCCCAGACACATTTTTTCAGAGTACCGACTTAATCCGAGTCAGGGATTTGAACTTTTTCATTGTCTGCTGCAGAATTACAAAGTGAAAAAAAGTGTACTTGTCCCATTGTTTGTGATATAAGTGTAGTCTCCTATACCTGTATCACTCCCCAATCAACTGTTTAGCATATAAATAATAAAAGTACAGCAGAGATTTGTAAGTGAACTTTCAACTTTATCTGGTACTTTTCTATTCTTTTCTGGCTACTATTTTATTGTCTTTTTAACCTGGTTTCCAGTGTTTGTCTTGTTTTTATGATATTTCACTCTGGCTTTTTCAAGACATTGTATCCTTAGTTGACATAAATTTATTAAATTTACTTCTTTGATGAGCTTTGGAACCAATAGTAACAATTAATTCAGGCAGTAGGTACATATTTCTCAGTCATAGACTGTGGTAATGATGAAACATATCATGAATCATGAAGTCAGCAGCTACCAGGGGCTGAAATGAACACTGATCCATTTGAGTGTACCAAATTGCATTGTAGGAATACAAGTAGAATGACATTTATGTATGATATATTGAAACAATGACAACACAATAAACACTTAGAATGATATTAAAGCTTTATTGACATTGTCAGTAACCATTGATGTATATATTAATATATCAATTATACAATGTAATCGAGAAATGTTCTCTGTGAATAGTGTTACAATATTCAAATCAAAGGTTATATTTGGTTTTATAAAAATATCATATGATACTAATATGTGATTACCCAATTAAAATACTAGTGATATGCAAATGAGAAGAATTGCATGTTTTAATTTGGAGAAGAAAATTTTGTACTGATCAGTTTTTGGATGAAGTCCTTAAATCAGCCAAAGTTTAAAGTGTCAAAGTTCACCGATGGTGACATAGATATATCTTTCTATCATAATGTTTTTGTTTTTTTTAATATCCAAATAGCTCCAGTGATGAAGTAATTGGCAATCCTATAATTTGCATACAAATATTTTTGGTTTTACATCATGGTATATATGATTTACATATAAATAAATACAGTTCTGGAAGATTATCTGTATAATCATGCTTGATATACAGCTTTGAACAGACTGGTGCAGAGGTCAAATTATAAATCTCTGTTTTCAGACTTTGTCCGAACATGCATGAATAATAATCTGTTTTTGGTCTAGAATTTTATCTAGCTAGTCATGACAATTAAGTGAAATTCAGATTATAAAAATATATGCAGACATTCAATCAAAGTTATATATATCTTTACACATTTAAAAATAATATTTACATTTTTTGTGTAATAAATTGTTTACATTTAATATATATAATGTGCTCAAAAATAGGTTTTAGTTTTCATGCAATGAATTATAAGTAAATATAATAGTATCAAAATAATCAATTTGTAAACAAATCTTGCAGATAAGTGGCAATAAAATGAATTGGTGGTTTGTTTTGACAGCAATAACTGATGCAGTGACAATGTACACAGTCAATACAGGTACAATACTTGCATGCATTTCATGGTTTGAGCCATAGACTAATAAAAAAAAACATAATATTAAATTACTATAACAATTTAAAAATAATACAAAATGGGATAGACATATTAACCCACAAAGCTATCAATTTAAAAGATATAAAATTGATCAAATTGATGAAAAATGGACAATTTAGATTGGGAAAAACAAAAGCAACAATTCATTACACCATAGAGTGTGCTCTACAGCATGCACATAATTTGGCACATGTAAATGCTTTTCTGTGGGTCACATTACTACTGTATTTAGAATTATATTAATTATAAATATAATAGTAATCACTAAACTAAAAATTACTGTACAGATGAAACAGGCTTCTTTCCTTTCACTAATCAAAAAAAGCAGCTGTACATTATACAAGTCTCTACTGAATGAAATCATCATTACACGATAAACACAATACAATGTAGCATTTATGGTTTATAAAGTGTTACATTTACCAATATACATTACAATTTGGCACTTTCACGAATAATTATTCATATATTATAAAATGGAAGATTATATCAATATAAAAACATTCTGTAATAAAAACAATCTGCAGCTTATTTCTCACTAGTTTCTCAAAATTTGCAAAATAAAAATATATTGTTTAGATTCTATGGGCTAGTGCATATACTTTCATAGCATGTAGCTTTCTCGACAAAGCAGGCATACCAATTAAATGCAAATATCTTATCAACTCATCACCATTGGCTGCCTTGCCTTTTACAGAACGCCACATCAATAATGCATTGAATATCATCTCTTTGCGGTTGTCTCTGTATTGACGCTGGATAATCCTGATGTGATCATAAGTGAAATGCATCGCACGCATCAGATGAGGAAGTTCACGCTCCATCATGTTGATAGCAACGCAGCCAAACATCTTCATTAGTAAGGCCTCTGTGAAATAACAATCCAGAAATAAAATATATATTAGAAAAAATACAAACAAACAGACACATAATTTTTTTTTCAAAGCAAAAGAAAAATGAAAATTCAAATTAGGCCATAATACAATTATTTTGTTTCTAATCCAAGAGTATTAAAAAATAGTGCAGTGATTCACATTCAATGTGAAATAATTTTAGTTTGGACTATAAAAATGTTACCAGACTCAAAACCAGTTTTTATTTGACCTTATACAAGGGTTACCTATCAGTTTACCCATCATGCATTTCAACATAGTTTATCCTCAAATCATTTTACATGATAATTTACTATATTCTCACCTTCACGTTCTTCTGCTCTCTGCATGAAATATGCAATAGGTTGTAATATTCCACCATCACATACATCCTTTGGAGGGTGCATCAAAGGATTAAACTCTAATCTTAAATCAGCAATATTGATGAGATTATCAAATCGCACTGGTAACTTCATCAGCTGATTGGACTCCAGATGCAATGATGTTAGATTCTGTAGCATACATAAGCTCTCTGGCAGGTGAGTGATGTTGTTACAGCATACTGATAACTTCTGTAGCTTAGCCAAAGCACCAATCATCACTGGTAAAGTTTCCAATGCATTATTGTCCACATATAATTCTTCCAAATTCACCAACTCTGCAATGCATTCTGGGAGAAGTCGTACTTTACATCCAAATTTCTGATCAAAATGCAGAGTCTTCAGATTTGAAATGACACATAGTTCATTTGGAAAATGTGGGAACTTGTTATCAGATAAATGCATCTCTTGTAAGGATTTCAAGTGATGTAGCTCCGTTGATTCCTCCACAGATACCATCCCATTGCCACATAGATGAAGTTTCTCTAGACTATGCAATCTACATACCACAGCTGGAAATACTTCAAACTTATTCTGATTAAGAAATAATTCTTTCAAGTTTATCAACTTTTTAATTTCAGTTGGTAATTCTCGCAAGTCATTTCCACTAACATCTAGAGTTTTTAGCGATTCTAAACGACAAATTCCAAGCGGGAATGTCTGGATTTTATTATTACTAAGAGTAAGGTGCTGCAAGTGAGACATATTCTCTATTTCTGCAGGAATATGTGTGATGTCATTATCGTCAATATTTAGAACCTGTACCTCAGCCAATGAGCATAGACCTAAAGGGAAGTGATCTAATTGGTTGTTGTCCAGGGTCAAGTGACTAAGGCGTTTCATATTGGTAATCTCAATGGGTAATGTCTTCATAGCATTTCCACCCAAAAACAATATTTCCACATCAGAAAGCAAACATACATCATCCGGCACACTCTCTAGACAGTTATTACTGAAATAGATCTCTTTTAGTGCTAATAAATTACATACCAAATCAGGTATCTCTTTTAATTTATTCCCATCTACACCTAACAATTCTAAATTAGGTAATTGACAGATCTCGTCTGGTAATCTCTCTAAGGCATTATTGTTTAATCCTAGTATACGCAGTTTAGTAAGCTTAATTATCTCACAAGATATATCCTGTATCTTGTTATTAGACAAGTTGAGTTCCTCTAAGTTTGGTATCCAATAGATCTGTATAGGCAGGTATTGTATCTGGTTATCACTTAACTGCAAATCACACAGTTCAATCCAATTTTCAATCACTGATGGCAATGTCTGAAGATTATTTCCCGATAACCCTAATTTAATCAACTGTTCTAAATAACAGATTGACTTTGGAATACAACCAAGACTATTGTTATTCAACCCTAGATTGGTTAACTGTTTCATTAGACTTATTTCACTTGGCAAGCTAGTTAACTGATTACTACTTAGTCCTAGCACTGTTAGTTCACTCAACTTTCCCATTTCCTTAGGTATAGATTCAAGCTTATTATGATTTAGATAAAGTTGTTTTAATTTTTCTAATTGCCCTATCTCCTTTGGAATTGATGTTAATTCATTATAACTTAACTCTAACACCTCTAACTTGGTTAAACTACCAATATCTTTGGGTAAGCTCTCAATATTATTATTTTGAATCATAAGAACTTCTAAGTTGACTAAGTTACTGATCTCAGGGGGGATATAAGTGATATTATTATTGCTAATAAACAGACACTGTAACTGTTCTAAGTTGAAAACTTGTTTGGGTATTCTATGAAGACATTGGCCACTAAGATTAACACAATATTTGCCATTACTACTTTTAATCATATTCACCTCAGGCTCTAAATTAATTTCTATCATTTCTTTCATTATTGAATCATCATAATCTACACTAAAATTATCATTTTCTATCACATTATCATTTACTATATCTGGGTCATATTGCGTGCTGCTAGACACAGTATGAATTTCTGGATTCTCATCTATTTGAGAATTGTCAGTTCCTCTGTCATTCTTTTCAGGATCGTCATCTTTGCTGTTGTCAATAGCAACATCATCTGCAATGTTGTCATCAATATCAGATGTTGTCTCGTCTACTTCCTCAATATCATTCAGTGTTTCATGTTCAGATGCTGCATCTATTTCTATTGTAGGTATTAAGTATTTGTTCATACTCATAGTTCATTCCACATCACGTACAGTCCTCTGTAAACCAAATGACATCAAACTATTATTCTATGCAGGCACAATTCTAGTGGTTAACTTCATTTAATCATACATTGGATTTTCACTCTCAAATTAATTTTTTTTATTTGTAATTATTTTTTATCGCAAAAAAAACATTGAGTTTGTTTTAAAATAGGCTTCACAAAATGTGTATAGCAAATGTACTGGTTATGTTACTTATGATATATAAATATATAGGCATTTAATAAAATCATACATTTATGCAAACTAGTTATAATTTTAAGTTTACATGACTATTTGACAACTAGAACACTAGACAATTCACCCATTTAAATCCAGGTTAATGCCAATCGGAATTCAATAATTTGCCAATATTTTATTCACATATACCAGACAACATTATTCACATTTTCTTCAATTCTTTTACCTTATGTACTCATTATTTTTTTCTTCACCCTCATAAATGTTGGTATTTTATATTGTAACCCTTAAACATCAATGTTATGTTACTTTGCACACCAAAGTCAACTTTCTGCTTCTTTCACATAAAATGAACTGCCACAATTTTTTTTTAAATTTTGATCAACCCCTTTAGCTGATGGAAAATTAAAATGATATGAACCAAAATTAACAAAGGAACAATAGAAACATAACTTAAATGTAAAAAATTAGGATGTCAAAAATACAATATATGGTTTAGGGTCCCCACTGGTTTCCCTCTATGCATAACATCTGTATTAGAACAATAGAAAGCTAACTCAATTCTTTTTTTAACAATTGAGAACAAAAATTCAATACATTTATATGTATACATGCTCTAATAGAAACTCTCTCCATTGTACAGTTTTAATAGCATTCGCTGCTTCTAATCCGGATTTTACAAAGTATGCACTATCCATGTATTCATTATTATCACAGAGGGGATTCATTAATGAAATATAATTCATCTTTTCTTACATAGAGAATTTAAACATCAGTCATTATTTATCAGGTTGCTTCAAATATTATATTTTCTTTCAAGCTTGGATGGATGAAATGATGTATTTTTAATATTATGAGGTTATTACGAGAATAAAAGTATGCACGAAAACAGTACAGCTAGAGTATCGACCGCCGCGTAGGGTAGCCATGTTTGTTTTATTATTAGAGGACACTTACATGCGTAATCATTCCATATTTTGAATTCGCATTTCCTTATATGGTAGGATGAAAATACCCTGTTACACTGTAACAATGTATAACAATGTTTGATATGGTCATGTTGATTGGATTATCATTTATCAGCACACTGCCAGTATTCGTATAAAGAAAAAATAATATGCATGTGCAGTGATTGTTATTGTCCATATCAAAATAATCAACTCATTTGCATATGTAATTGAAAATAACTTCCATACTCATTACATTTATTATTACATGTGCTTGCTGTCTTCATAGAAATCCACAAGGAAATCAGATGAAAAAATGTTTTTTGTTGTTGATTGGCACATTTTGATGATCCAGCATAATAAGAAAATGCTTTGGGCTTAAGTATACTTCTATTGCAAATATGGTATCATTAATTTTTTCCATTTTTTGATTTAAACAAGCACAATATTAGTTTATTATTTAAATCGGGGCACAGCACAAGTTGTATTCATAGGACAACAGGCAAGGCCTGGCAACAAACAAGAATACACTTAACTGACTTTGGATTGTGGACTTTGAAAAAGTACAAAAATGTAAAAAGGAGTCGCTGGTAGATACAGGTTAGAAAGGTTAGAACACAATAACACAATTAAAAAAACAAACATGTTGTGACCCCCAGAATCAGGCACATCATTGGTTACCTAGATATAGTCTACCAAGCACACTCTGGTGGACATGAATGTTTTGTCAAATAATAGATAAGTTAATTACATGTATTTGTAATGATACCATGGCAACCATGGCAAACAACAGCAACCATCTTATGTGTATGAAAACCTGTCAATCATTGAAATGTATTTTATATTTAGAAAACTATTTAAACAATGTCTAAAGTTAAATAAAATGACTACAGTGTGGCAGACACTAGTAACTCAGTTTATAAATGTATTTATAAATATTTGTAAATATTAGCTTACAACCTTTCATTTAAATATATATGCAATAGTGAACATTGTCAACTCATGCACACGTTTCACACACATGCCACCATATAAACAAAACTGAAAAGTTTATGTCAATACAAACAACAAACCATTATTGACAAAACTAACATCTATATTAAAACAGCAATTCCTTGAATGATTTTCATTGTCTTGTTTGATAAACATTCTGAAATTATATCTCTATATCTTTACCGACCTAAAATGTACTACCAGTATTTGTTCACAGTAGTAATAAGGAAGAAATGTCTGTGCCTGCATTCTTATTTTAATGAAAGCGTCATATTTATAACATCCACACTTTTAAGTTGTGCTCTGTACAATAAAGTTAAGGAAAGTCTGTTATAAACTCAATTGTCAGACACACACTGTATCTGAGAATATAACATAGGCTGTTATGACACATTCTAATTTATGCATGAGTACTTCATACTATAAACATCCAATCATAAATTTCAAATGACCATTAAAAACAACTTAGCCAATTACAATATCTCAGAAGATGAATACCGCTAGCATAGAATTCCACAATGTGGCATTTAACCCATCACATCAATTTCCAAGCTACCGGAAAATGAACGTTAAACAATTTAAATAACGATACTTCTATTAGTATTTAAAATGTATCTATGAATACTTAAGGTGAAACATTTTGAATACATTTGATTAGATCTCATAGGCAAGTTTATAACTTTTGTCAGAGTACAATCTTAAATTGAAGGTAAGACATATAAGACATTTTGGCCAGTAATAGGAAGGTATTTGCTTAATAGTATTAATTATTCATATCATAAAGGTCTATTGGGGGTGTCACAAAGACAGGGTGTCATCACATTAATTGCCAAAAAAGGTAAAGATAAAACATATATTTCAAATTATCAGCCAATATCTTTAATCAATATACCGGTAGATGTTAAAATTGCATCCAAAGCTATTGCAAAGCGTATGCTTAATGTCTTGCCTTCCATAATTCATCCAGACCAATGTGCATCTGCAAAAAGCCGCTACATCGAGGACGCTATACAAACAGTTCTTGATCTTATGTGGTACTCTAAACAGAATGATATGTCAGGTGTTCTAGTGTCTCTAGATTTTCACAAAGCATTTGATTCGGTCGACCATAGGTTTATTATTGAAGTCTTAAAGAGTTTTAACTTTGGTGAATCATTTATAAATTGGGTGAAAATGTTTTATAAAGATGTTACTGCTTGTGTCATGAACCATGGGATCTCAACTGGTTATTTTGAAGTGGGTAGAGGAGTTCGACAAGGAGACCCCTTATCTCTTTATCTATTCATTGTAGCTATTGAATTGTTAGCAATTGCAATTAGAAACAACCAGTCTATTGAAGGTTTTATTATTTTTCAGAAATGTATTAAACTGGCAATGTATGCAGATGACATTACATGTTTTATCAAACCAACATCAATTAAAGTTTTGTTTCAAATAACTAAAAATTTTAAATGTTGTTCAGTTTGGGGTTAAAACCAAGATAAAACAGAATTATTGTTGCTGGATTATGGGCACAGCCAAGAAAA